TAAAAAAATAATGCAAGTCATCCTGCAGAAAACAAAGGTCTCCCTCCTGTTTTATCCTCTTGTCATTCTCTCCGTCCAACTATTCCTTCTTGAGCTTTCAGAGGAGGAGACAGCACAGGCTTGTCCTCACTCCAATGCCCACAAAAGGGCTTTGATGCTCAGGTGGGAGGACTGAAATGTCTCACTGACTGCCATCCTGGTTTCTGGCTCCGGGTGGCTCATCTGGGCCCAGAACTGCATACACTGCAGGAAAAAAAAGAGGGAAAAGAAAAAGCGAGAACATAAAGGTAGAGATAGTCAGAGAGAAAGACAGAAAGAAAGCTGCTGGGCTGTTATTTGTTGATTCTGAGCCCATTCCTGTGGTGGAGCCATCTGCTGAGGGAGGCAGTGCAAACACTAAAGCATGATTCACTCTGGTTCCCTTATTGCTATTGAGAATTTTGATGTTACAACGTGCCCGTGAAACTGCAGAATGTTTAACTGAACACAGACAGTCTAAACATGACTAGACAACTAGAAATTCCTGGAAAATGTAATGCAACACAATAGAGCAGCACTATCTTTGTGAATGTGATAATGCTCAACTTTTGTTGAGACTGTGTTAGAGAGGAGATGACTCAACTCTGGGGTGCTTTTAGAGGCTTAATTAGTGGTGCTGTTGTTAAACTGACAGATGTGTTTTGTTCCCACATGGGGCAACACAGATCATACGTAAACACTGCAGTCGCTCATAAAGATGCCAGCATGCTTCTTCAGAACTGCTTGTCACTTTATATGTGGAGGTGAAGGAAGGCTCCTCTGTGGCCCTGGATTCTGTCTCTGGGGCCAGCTGTAGTTATACTCACACTGTGTACACAGGAAAAGGGCCTGGAAGTGATGATAGTCTTCTTTTAGCTAACTGATGATCTTTTCTTTTGAATAAAACTGGGGAATCCAAACTCCATACAGGATAATAGAAATCATTGTTTGAATATGACATTGATTGTTATTGATATAACACCCATGTAGGAACAAAGGATGCACAATCGTGTGTGTGTATGTGTGTGTGTGTGTGTGTGTGCGCGTGTGCGTGCGTGTGTGTCTGTGCGTGCGTGCAGTGTTACTTTCTTGGCAATTTGACCCAAAGCTTGAGTCTAGAGTTTGCATAAAATGATGCCTTTGATTCTTTAGAGAAGCATTACATTTTTCTGTGAAATGTTCCTTTCCATCTATCATTGTCACACTCGCACTGATGACATTTGAATGACATACTGTATTTGCGTAGCCTTATAAAAAGCCAGGCAGCTCACAAATTGTGTGTGAATACATGTCAGTTCATTGTTTAGACACTTGTGTCAAAGTATTGAGTTGTTAACCTTAAAAATGAAGGAATTAGCGACATGATGACATAATTCATATGTTACTGTTTAGTCCGTGGATTGTCCACAACCACAATCAACTGCTTGCAATGTGACACATTAGTGTCTCACTGCACAACATAGTGAAACACTACAGCCACCATTGGACTTAATGGGGAAACATGGTGTGATTGTGGGCGGAGTAGGTATTAAAGTATACATTAGGGCTCCAGACAAATAGGTTGATATAGATGCTAAGACTTGCTGGGCCTAAAAGATTGAATTAGGATTTTTGGCATACATAAAAAAGAGAAAGAAAAAAAACTCTATAAAACATACAATGCTGCAATTTGAGTATTTCTGCATCGCACACATTCTGCCTGTGAGGACAGTATCACTACATCACCTGCAATTATACAAAGAAAACCGCTCTAAGATAGAATATCAGTGGTACCGCTGTGCAAGGAGTAATGCAATATAGTTACTAGCTCAGCACAAATGACGGATGCCTTGAGGGGGTTCAATCCCCCGTCAGAACATGACTGACAGCTGACATAAGCTGTGAGTGTGTGTTGGAGTTTAGATCATTAATGAGACAGCACACCGACGGCCCTGATGAATGGCCTACTCCATACTGCATAATCTACATGCTGCTCTCCCTCTCGACCTTCACTGGAGATTGACTGAGTGTCTACGTGAAAAAAAGAGCAAAAGTAGAGAGAAGAGAAGACGATCCATCTCCATTATCCTTTTTTTTTTTCACCCTGGTTGCTCAGCGTCACATCAGGCCCACTCACTCCATCGCGCCCCTTGTTTCCTGCTCTATCACTCTTTCATTCCCCGCTGCCATTTTAGCTCAATATCTTCCTGTTGTGTCTTCCCTCTGTTTTTCCTCTCGCTGCAACTCTCACCCTGGGGAAATACTGCTTCCCTAATGACGAACAGATTGTGTGATGCAGAGAAAATGGGATGTTAATGTTGCCTGAGTGTGACTCTGTTTAACATGACTTACTATTCTCAGGGTTCCTACCTGCTCGTGTGTGTGTGTGTGTGTGTGTGAGTGAGCATACATTAATAGGAACAATATATCTCAAGAAATACTGTATCTGCACCCCTTCTGTGGACTTTGTTGTTTGATCTTTCCTTGAAAATTAGATGCATACTGCCACCTGCTGTTCAGTAATGCAAAGGGCCGATTCTGTGCAAAATACCCAAAGCAAGATTGAGCATTATGAAGCACAATCCTCATATGATACAGAGCAGAAAACCAAAAGTCATTTCATCCATCCAACCTGCCTCATGAATCCAGCTATTTATTTACACTAATTGAACTCTATTGAGACTTCATAAAACTGGTATCTCCCCACTGGCAATGGGAACAATGGGGCAAAACAAACATGTTGCCAAAGGACAAGAAGCAGACTACGAAGAGCCCAAATCATGCAATTACTGTGTAATCTTAAACTCCATAATCATACTGTTAACCTGAGAAGGATCTTTGGACATGGCTGAGTCAGTATTGGTTTAATAAACTCAATCTGCTACTACTGTAAACTGGTCACGTGACAATAGAAACAAACTGCTGTAGATTGATTGGTTATTAATCTGTCACACCATCTTGACCGCTCATAACACCGAGTTATGAAGTCTATTTCAGTCAGTGGTGAATCTGCAGAATTAGGGTTGTGAATTACAGTAGCTATTAATTACACTCGGATGAAGAACCCGAACAAACTCCTACTGCTTTCTCCACAGGCACCTGGTTTGGAAAGGTCAGTGAAAAAGAGAAACATCAGGCCTGGTGTGTGGGCGGTGTTCGGGTGAGAAACAACTTATTTTTGTGAGATGAAGAGCTGAACGTACCCGACAGTCCGCTGGCACAAGATGATGCTAGTCACTGTTTGATTCTGCCGGGACATGATTTGCCACGACGTTACCATTTTTAGATACCAAGTATGTCGAGGTTAAGAAATTACACATATTTTGAAATAGACCTGTTTTGAAGCTCAATGGCATCATTTGGCTTTTTCAGCAAGACATCACACTTGAGTGTCAAGCATTAATGAGCAAGAAGCTGCAATTGCTGATTAATACAAATGTAATCAAGGCAGGTGGCTTTCAGCCAGGATACATTTCACCATGTCTTGCTTATAGGTTGGCAGGAACAGGAGAGTTCTGCAGCGCTCTCACTCAAATTACAAGAGGAGAGGAATAAGAAACGAGCCGGAGGGGTGAACTCAGTGGATATCCACAGACTTACCAGTTCAGCAACATCAATCAACTCTACAGGGTGCTTTTGTAGCTCATAAACAGGTCGCTGTTTCGGAAAATTGGAAAAAAAAAAATTTTTTAACTCGAAAGCACAACAATCATCTCATTAAATGCACAAATAAAACTGAACAGGCACTTCAAAAAATGTATCAACAAAAACCCCAAATGACTGTGTGCTTGTATATTAATTCAGTATAATTTGAAGGCATGCTGCAGTTAGATTTATTTTCTTCTCAAACTAATAGCATGCTGATCATTACGCTTTGTGTCTAGAAAAATAAATATATTAAGCAAAGCAATTGCTTCTCTCTTTAACACTAGTAATAAAAAGATATGTCATCTACCTCTAGAACTACTGTATGTGAATGTCACATTATGCTGTAATGTTTGCCTAAATCATACCGGCACACAAGAGACAAGTCTTCACTTGTAGACATCTAGCTCTGCCTCAGTAAAGTGTTCCTGGTAACCTGCTTCTATGGAAACATCTTAGATCTTTTAGTGTTATAACTATTGCACAATACATTAGCCTTATATGGAAAGACCAAAGTACAGGAGGAACTTCAGACAGCAAACCGTGCTGAAGTCTCACTTACGTAGATATAACATGCGTTGACATTTGTGTTGTAGTAGACAGTAACAATGGAGGAAAAAGAAACACGACAACATTGACAAATATTTACTGTTTATTCATCGAGACAGCATGGACATTAAAAGCAGAGCAAAATTAAACGAATCGTCAGTCTTTGAAAATCTTTTTGATCAAAATGAAATCAGTATATTTTACAGTAAGGGGACAAGAGCAATCAATGTGAGCTCTACGTGAGGAGAAAAGAGACTAACATTGTACAAACGCTTTCAGCCGACTTTTTAAAAAAAAAAAAAAAAAAAAAAAAAGAGGGGAGGGAAAGGAGAGAAAAAAAAAAAAAAAAAAAAAAAATTTTGTAAAACTTTTTAAAAAAAAAAAAAAAAAAAAAAAAAAAGGTCAGGGAGTGAAGTGGAACCTGACAAACCAAAACAAACCACAAGCACTGTTTTTTTTCTTTTCTTCTTTTTATTTCATTTTCACTAAATGTCAACAAACAAGGAGGATGTGTAAAGATCTTCAAAATAACACAAAAACCCAGAATGAACTTCTCTAAGTTTGGTATTCAAAGTGACGCCTGGTTGACATCTAGACCAAGTAATACATCAGATGAACCACAACTACCCTCATCCAGCCCGAAGACAGACCGGTGACGGAACATGAAAATCATTGCATTTCCCCCCCCTCTCCTCGTTTACACATGTATGGTCGTATGTTTTTAAATAAGCCACTACACATTTGTGGTTCACCTTGTTTTTAAGCAGCGAAGTGTCAGAATCAGGACGAGGTCGGCCGCGCTCTTCCACTTCTTCCTCCGCCAGATCGCCCAGCTTCCCCTGTTGAGCAAAAATGTTCACAAAATGCAATGTCAGCAAAGGTCCCACAACAAGTACTTGTAGCAACGAGCAACAACTGCTGCTACTGGAGCAACAATAGCATCTACATAAGAACTACTGGGGAAATATAGCCCTCAATTTAGCCACAGAGGAAAGAGTAGATCATAAACATATAATAATAATAATAATGCACAAATGTAATTTGGCCAGAACATATTGTAATTATTTGTCAGTTTATTTATCTGTAGTATCTGATAAATCCATCTATCACCACCTTAGACCCTAATGTTTTAAAAACAGAGACAAACCTGTTTGAGATTCTTTACGCCAATGCTAAAGTGCACGGGACATATTTTTAAGCAGATTCAATGACGTTAAAAACATCCTAACAAAGCTTAAGTCCTGACCACTTTGTATGGGGAAATCTACACTTAAGTGACAACTTTAGCATTTTGCATAAGTACATCAAGCAGGCCGTCTGTGCGTCACTGACATTTCTAGAAAATGACCTTTTCCCCCCCAAACATATCTGAAAGTTACAAAAGAACCACAATAATAAAAAGATATACACATTCAAGCTTCCAAGTTCATGTTGTGGAGAAGTACAGAATTGTTTTTTGTTTTTTTTCTGACAGGCAACAGCATTCAGAAATGGATGTGGGTAGAGAAAGGAGTACCTGGGGTGAGTACCTGCACAGTTTGACAGTCAGAGTATCCATGATTTTTAATTTGCCCTTTTCTCATGTGGTCTCGCTCACAACACCAACGCTGTGTGAGGTATGGAAGTCAGCTGCAATTCATTTGATAAACCCTACCCTCCAGTTAGTTAGTTACGTAAGGCCCCCGTTGCTATGACACCCCCCCAAACACACACTGCATGGCATCATCAGGCACAGGAAGCTGGACAACAAACCCATTATATGCGAGTTATGGTTACGGCAAAAAATGGCTTGTTCTTCCACATACACCTTTGACTAGAGCTGAAAGTATGTCTGTGTGTTTACATGTGAGCGGGGGACATCTCCATGTTTATACACATATACATGTGTGTATATACATATACATACATGTGTGTGTATATATACATACACACAACATGTAAACACACAGTGGCTGAAGTTTCTTCCTATAGTGAGTGCAATCTCTCAGTAAATCAAAATTACTTCATTTTCCTACTTAAAAATAAACAAAAGAAAAAGAAACAAACAGGTCAATACAGGCAGGACTTTGATTGGACGGGTTAATATGTTTTCTGCCATTTTGTCCACAAAGACAAACATCTAGAAGTATGAGACAGCGATACAAAACGAGGGGTACCTCCGGCCTGTTTGCTCAGGGCTACTCTGGCCTTTCCCTCTTGGGTTTGTGTGATTGCTTTCTACCTTCTTCTCACTCATCGGGCCTAGTCCTTCATCTTCAGTGCATACTTATGATGCACTATTCAAAAACAGGATAAAGATATATATGCACATAGTACATAAGACAAAATCATAGGCATTGAACTGAACGTAAACAGGGAGGGGAGGGGGGAGGGAGGGGAGATGGGGGCTTGGGAGGGTGGAGGGGTTGGGTTGAGAGCCAGGGGGGAGCGAGGAGGAGGACTCACTTACCTGAGCCTGATCTGAGGTCCTATCAGATCAGTTTTAATTGGACTGAGTGTCACCTTCAGAATGGAGGAGCTCTTGTTGGCCGTTAAGCCGAGGGGAGGCAGAGGCGGCCGCCTCCGTCTCCATCGGTTCCGCTTCTGACGAAGCCTTGATGGCAGCTGCATCACCGCTAGAGTGCTTCTCTTTCTTAGAGCTGCTCCTCTCCTCCGTCACCTTACGGTCTGGGAAAACATCGGATATTTATATACACACCTATCAAAAAGGTAACCTTTTGCTGTGTGCAGTTAAGTTTTTATACAACAGCATGTGCTGTCTATTTGAAATCTGCACACACTTGAGGCCAAGAGAGTCATTTTACATGTAATAACGAAAGCTATGTCCGAGTCCTCACCTTTGTCTTTCGATGACCGCTCTCTGTCCCGGTCTCTCTTCTCCTCCCGGTCCTTGTCCTTGTCCTTGTCCTTGCTGCGGCTGCGATGGCGGTGAGGTTTGCGCTCAGAGCTACGCGACCTCTTCCGGTCACGACTGCGGGAGCGACGCTTTCTGTCAACGCGCTCGCGGCTGCGCCTCCTCTCCCGGTCTCTGTCTCGGCTCCTATAAAAACAGGGAAATAAGTTATTAAGGAAACAATTAAAATGTATAAAAAAAAAAAAACTAAAAAAAAAACTGTCGTTTAATCATTTCTCCTTATGCAACGGCACACAAAGTTATGGTGCACATATTTGTTTTGTAGTATGTTCAATAACCAGTGGAGGAGTCACATCAATACATGGGAGAATGTTCTAAATAACACCATCCAAGTCAAACTGTAATGTTTACTCTTATGCTCCGTCCTTTTATGGTCACACGTTGCTGTTATTAGACCACCAGGACTATGTCGGTTAATGTGGTACAGGGAGTCGTCCATACCTGCTGCGTTTGCGCTCCCGTTCCCTGTCTTTGTCTCTGCTTCTGGACCGCCGGCGATCTCGGGATCGGCTCCTTTTCCGGTCGGATGCTCGACTGGAGTGGCGGCTGTTCGAGGCGCTTCGGCGAGTCCTCCGGTCCCTCTCCCGGTCTCTATCTCGGTCCCGCTCTCTGTCTCTCTCCCGTTCACGCTCCTTCTCTCGCTCCTTCTCCTTTTCACGCTCCTTCTCGCGCTCCTTCTCCTTCTCTTCCTCCTCTTTGCGCTTTTTCTCCCGTTCCTCCCTCTCACGCTCGCGGTCTTCTCGGTCCTTCTTGAGCGCTGGGCTTTCATCTTGGGGTTCCTCTGAGCGACGACGTAGTTTCTCCTGAAGGTAAATAAGCGAGTTAATTATGACCAGTTGATCAGTACATTTTACACCAGAGGCACAACCAAAAACAGTTGAAGTGGAATAACCTCCAGGAAAACATTCACTTTCAAAAAGTAGGACACAAAAAATATATAGCAATGATTTGTAACACTGTTAATACTCTGTACAACACATTGTGGTTTTGATAAACACATGATTCACATATTTGACTTCATGCATTTGAGCATTTATGCTCTTCTTCTAGTGTAACAGGGACCCAATAACTTCTGCTGCATGTAATCATGTTACCTTGAGCTCCTCCACGGTGGATTTGATCTTGGCATAGCCCATGTGTTGCTTGCCCATCAGATGGTCATCCACTCGGGACTGTGCGTCACCCACAATGAGAAACGCCCCACACACCTCACACACCTCCATCTGTTTCTCCTGGGCTGCAAAGCTCTCGATGGTCTGATAAAAGGTACAAACATTATATCATAAAACAAATCGAATAAGCATTATAGTTCAGCCTAGGAGCACAACTGCTTGTCTAATGAGCACAGGTTTGATACCAAGAATGATTGATGATGGAATCATTGTCAGGCCAAGCTTAGTTTGACTTTGAAAATTTCTACTAGAACAATGGTAATATTACACGAGCAGTACATATAATCCTGAGCAGCGTCTGTGGAGTTAACCGACTCACCGAGGGGGTGGAGCTGAGCAGCTCCCTCTCCTCCTTCAGCTGCTCCACCAGCTTCATCATTCCCTGGGCCTCCTCCACTCTGCCCTCCGACCCCAGCTCCTCAATCTGAGCAAAAGCAAAACAGAGACCAGTCAGCCACTACACACACAACCCAGTGCCATAACACTGACAAATACATTTCTATGGCGTCAATTATAAGATCGTTTCAAACAAGGTTTCGTAGAGACAGGAGATGATGTATTCCAGCTTTAATAAATCTGGGAAAGGTTATATGACCGATATTCACCTTACAGTGCATCCTGGTTCCTTCACAAATTACTAGGGCTAATATGCACTAATCAATTCTAAAAACATCAGTCACTTATTTGATCATATTCTTCACAAACCTGCATCACTAGGTCTTCGATCTTCTCCGTTAGAACCTGGCCCTTCTCCTCATTCTTTCCTGATGGACCAGGACCCTGAAGGAAGAGATAAATACAATGTCTCTCAGGTAAAACACACAGGCCATGTCACTGTTGGATGACAAAAAAAAGATGTATTCTTAAAAAAACCCCAATAAAGTGATAATCAAAGAACACAAACCCCTGCGTTCTGCTGGGCCTGGGAAAGTGCAAGCCGGGCGTGCCCTCTGCGAATCCTCCGCTCCACCTCTGCCAGGAGCGACTGCAGATAGCGCAGGAAGTCGCGCTCATAGCCCTCCTTCATGAAGCGAGAGCTTTTCTCATAGCTGGACACAGCGGGGCAGAAGCAGGTTATCGTGTGGAAATATCAAGGCGCACACAAGTTACGTTTGAAAGCACAATCAGAACTTACGTTATTCTAAGATTCTCATCGTGGATTTTCTCACAAGGGCCTGGAAAAGAATCGCAAAAAAAGGTAATTATCTTCTAATATGGAAGACTTTTAAACTATTGCTGTATTAATAGGAATACTTCACCCTTATTAAAATGACAGACGTGTTTTAAATGGTATGATTTTGCCGAAAATGTATGTGTTTGCCAGTTGAAATTATTCCAGTTGTGTGAGAGTTTGTAAACGTGTCTTTTGTTGTAGTTTTGCTCGAAAAACAAAGTATTCTTTCAAAATTCAAATTATTACGTGGCGAGTAGGATTAAATATATATACAATGGGTAATTTTAAGGTTGAAGTACTCCTTTAAAACATTTATATCTACATGTTCTTAACTTACCTAAGTCAGAGCGGGTGTTTGTGAATAGCTCCGCTGGGCAGAAGCCACACAGGTAGTACCGACATACTTTCTTTGAGAGAAGACAGAGCAACGCAATACCGACGTTACTACACACTCTCTTCTAACGACAGAGTTATTAAATCAGTTCAGGCCATAGCTTGTCTATGCTAAAAGGGGAACAAATCAGCCTCACAAGTCATTGCTTAAGTGGATTTAACACTACCTCGTTCTTACCCGTGACTCGTGTTATCAGTGATTAGTTAAACATTAACTGTTACTCGAAGCTAACAACAGGGTAACCCCAATGGAATCCACAACGTTTCAAGCCGCATTGTAAGCCAATAAAATGCTATTAGCATTAGCTAACACTAGTGCTAATTGTACTAGCGCGCGTGCCTAGATGACACTCTGCCAGCTAACGCAACCAATTTCGTGCGTTATCATTGAAATCCGGACTGTTGACAGATACCTTAATTGAGCCAACTCCCACATACTATAAAAAATACATCTTTGCTAGCTTAACTGTTTGATAGCTTATCAAATTGGCTAGGCTAACGTTAGCTAGAATGCTAACTTACGGTCTCGTCGTCCCATCGCACGTTGCATCGCTTCTCGTCAGGGGCCAAATTTCTATCTCGGCCCATTAACTCATCGAGTAGCTGGGCTGCTGAAAGCATTTTGCCTACAAGAGTGTAGTCTTAATTTAAAGTACTACGATATCTACTGAAGTAGTTATTTCTAATCAAAATGGCAGATGCTGTAACAACGCCGCCCGTTTATGGTTCTACCCATAAAGAGCCGCTCAACGTCATCTCCGTTCTTCTTCTTCTTCTTCTGGTTTTACAGTAGTTGGCATCAAGCGTATTGGTGCATTGCCGCTACCTTCTGCTCCGGAGTGTAGGTAATGGATGGCTTGATGCAGTTTCTTGTCACTTTAAACTCCTTTGTCCAAAGCATTGCAAAAAATAGATGATTGTAGTTACTATTTTCAAAATTTAAAAGGCACCGATTTTACGAAATGACGCAATTGCTGTATTTTGAAAGTGTTCACAGGAAGTAGTGGTATGCCGTTAAGTCTGCATTGAGGCTAACTTGACGAATTAATATATTGCAGTTCCACGCCGTGTCCACTAGAGGGCAGTCGATGTTCCAATAATCTCAAACCGCCTTGTACTTAATGGCGGTAACGCCCTCCAGTGGTCACAGTGTGGAACAGCACTACTGCTAGCTTCACGAGCCCACCTGATTGTATTTTACAAGTAATATGATCACTCCATGACCATTTCTTTCACCTGTTTTGTATGCCTTAGTTTGGAGACAGTACTTTAAATGTATTCAATGTGTAGTGTAGTAAGCTATCGAGTGTGCGCAGAAGCTGATTTGACGAATTTAATGTGGTGCATTTATTCACTCTGACCACTGGATGGCACTGAAACCTCAATATATATACTTTGAAGGCTTTTTATGGTGCACCTTGTACTGAGTAAACAAAGTGTAAAGATAATCAGTAAGTACATCTGTAGTATTTCTACTGAGGAATATGGAGTTTGTGTTTTTAACTGTGGACACTGTAAAATAATTAAAATGAGTTTATGTTTATTGAAATCTGATTGTGTCAGTTTGTTGTCTGTATTTTGAAATTATTTACCAGATGTATTAGTATGTCATAATTTCTCTATTGACGCTAGCGTGATGAATTCCATGTTTTGCAGTCCCTCATTGTGACCACAAGAGGTTAGTAAACACTCTAGGGTGACCAGTTTAAACATTCAAAAAAATGAACTTAAATAAAAGTTATGAATTGTTCGGTAGTCGTCACAGTTACCTACTAAACATCCACATTCATCAGTGGGCATAATACAGGTATAACGGTTCTTTAAAGGTATTCAGAGTTATGTTTGATCATATTGTGTCTATGAAGCTGAAGTGACAGTTGTGTTTACAGCAGAGTGTGTTCACTGCCCTCTAGTGGTCATATTTAGGACATGCAACACAATATTGAAATAATGGACTAGTAACTGATAATACAAGTTCAATCTTTATCATAATACAAATAAAACCATAAGTTATGTGATAATCAATTAACTGTTTTACAGTTTTAACAGTGTATCATTTTCCTTTTTGGAGACCAGTGCTACAAACAAACTACCACTTCCGGTGATTACTTTCAAAATAAACTGAAAAACTGAAGCAATTTAAACTATCAAAAAACTAGAGTACACAACTCCACATTCGTCTATGGTAATAATACAGATATGTATTATCATCCTGTGTCCTTTACGTACATTCAGTATTGAGAAAAACATATTTTATGTGTTCTGGAGCGGAAATGTTGTTGTCACCCACTGGTTGCATGGTTACCGACAACAAGTGTGTGGTATTGACAGTGATTTCACCTATTATTTAAATTTAATTTACTCACCGACAAAGACTAGGGACTGGATAATGTCACATATTTTTTTTACATAAAGTTAAGTGTCAGATAACTGAAAGTATTCAGAGGGGAACAAACATGTGTGCCCACTGTTGTTACAGCTAAAGATGTCCCCCGATGAGGCGGTGATGTTTTCTGCAGCCCAATGACGGAGCTCTGATACCGCTGATACATTGAATGAGTGCACTGAGTGTTGGCAGTAGCACGGAAACGAGATTTAACAACAGAGATAAATGGCGAAAGGGCGGAACCTGCAGTGTAAGCGCCAAAGATCCAACACGAAGTCGCATTAGCCGAAGCGATTTGCAGCCACAAGCTAGCACCAAAGACTGCTAGCACCTCGCTAAGCTAAGCCAGTAGGTAAGGTTAGCCGGGGTAGCTAATGCTAGCTGGCAAGTGTATCTGTAGTGGACGTGTGTGCCATCGGTGGGAAGAATCGTCGGCCGACTGCACTTGACAACTTAATCCGACCGGCTGTCGTGTATCCTATGGTCTCGCAGCGCTAGTTGCCTGTGTCAAAATGTCCACCACTTCGTTGGATAAAGAATTACAGGAGCGGCTGAGAGAGGCGTCTGCCATCGGGGACATCGACGAAGTGCGGACATTGGTGGAGAGTGGAGTAAATGTGAACTCGCAGAACGAAATAAACGGCTGGTGAGTGTTTGGGACGAGTACACGATGTCTTCACCATGTTAAACTAAAGATGACAGGTGTTGGTTTGCTGCACAGATCTGTTAATAATCAAGTTATTTTGACGCTTATTGAAAAGTTCAGTGCAGCCAAGTGCGTTGTTGCAGGGATTACAGCTAAGCAGTGTTATCTTATTAGACAGAGCACGGCTTAGTTAGCTTGACATGCAACTTTTTAACTTGTCTATTCAAACAGTAATACACGCTCTACTACCTAGTATTTTGGGGATGGTTTGTAATATAAAGTGCCATTAATCTAGTCAAGTAAATCAGCAGCCACTGTGAAGTTAGACGATGTGAATCGGCACATCACTGCTCCAGTCGGGAACCTGCTAAACTTGTTCTCATTGCCACTGATTTGATTAAATAACGTGTGATGATAGGTGGAACTATATGAATGTCAGTCTGATCTCCAGTTTAGACCGGAACCGTCTTTTATATATATATATATATATATATATATATATATATATATATATATATCTCAAGAAAAATAAATACATAGTACAGAAGTCATTTTATCAGCATATGGGTGTTTTGGTTCACTAAACTTTGTCCCCTCTCCGATAATCTCACCAGGACCTGCCTGCACTGGGCATGCAAGAGGAACCACAAGCACATAGTGTCCTACTTACTCAGTTATGGAGCAGACAAAGAAATCCTCACGGCTAAGGATGAGTTGGCCTCGCAACTTACATCCAAACCAGAGATCAAACGGCTTTTAGGAGGTGAGCTACACATTTCTTACCCACTTGTTTCTGTCACATCATTCTTGCGTCATTCGTTGTTACTTGCATGTGATTTATCTGTTGATGTAATGTAGAGATTATAACTTAAGGTGTTGAGGGTATAAGTGCACATCTGTTCATGGTTTTGACACAAACAAAATATAATCCTCTTTTTTTTTTCTTTTTTTTTGATATTATTACTGCAGTTGAAGTGGAGGACGTGCCTGAAGTCAAGGAGCCTGAGTTGCCGATCATCCCCAACTACCTGTCTAACCCGGCCTTCATGTATTCCAAGATGGATAAGTCCGAGATCATCCTGGCACGGCACCTTACACAGAATGGTTCTGGAGAAGATGCGGAGGACATGCACAGCGATTCACCCTCCCTCTCCCCGACTCACGAGCCTCACCAATCCCAGAGCCTGTTCTCTGACGGCCCCACATCTCCCCCAAACCCCACCGCCCACAGCCCAGCCCACGGGGATCTCATCCCCGTGACTGAGCAAAATGGCGTGTCGCCCAGCCCGGCCTCGTCCCACCACCACGCTGCCGTTAACCGCACGGTGCCCATGGACCTGTCGGTCGAGCCGCACCTTGCCAACCATGCCGACTACCCGCATGCGGTGGCACACAACGGCACCGTGTGCTCGCCGCCGTTGGCCTCGCCCAGCCCCAGCTTGGCCAGCAGCAGCGGGAGCCAGGTCCAGGCCCCGGTGGCCAACGCTAACCCAACCATGAGCAGGCAGCAGTCCATCCCACAGCAGTTGAGCTACGGCCAGGCTGGTGGGCCCATGGCGGCCTTCCAGCCTTTCTTCTTCACCAGCACCTTCCCCGTCAACGTGCAAGGTGAGAGAGTTGTATTGTGTTATGATGACGAGCTTTGCTTCATACTTGAGGCACGGGGGAAACAGCTGTTAGCCTGGCTCTACGCCAACCAGCACCTCTAAATGACGGTAATTAACACTTTACATGTTGTTCACAAACAGAAAGGCAAAACAACTGAACACTCCTTCAAGCTTTGTGCTCATTAGAGTAAAAAAAACCTTCTAAAATACGAGCACAGAGCTGACAACAATCTCTTTGTGTGTGCTGGCAGCCACCTTGTCAAACCAGAAATGGTTGTTAGTGGATGTTCCCACAGGCTCACGAGCAAAAGCTATCTTCCACAGCGACTCTCACCTTCTGGCTGCGTCCATCATCTTATTAAACATCTTTGTTAAAGAAGAGGCGTTACTCTGGTCCTTTTCTCTAGAGTTGGTGCTGAAGGTGCGTATCCAGAACCCCAACACTCGGGAGAACGACTTCATTGAGGTGGAGCTGGACCGCCAGGAGCTCACCTATCGCTCCCTCCTGAGGGTCTGTTGCCGAGAGTTGGATATCAGCACCGAGCACGTGGAGAAGATCCGCAAGCTGCCGAACACCATGTTGAGAAAGGTATGGTAAAGGAAAATACAGTGTGGCGGTCCTATGAGCTGCAAACCATTTGTCCTTGCTGTACAATTAATAAAATGAGCTTTCTATTCTAAGCGAACACAAGAAAAATCGAATTCACTCGCTTATTAAAATGCTTTCATTGTAATATTGTCACGTATGACCTAAAAGCAAACTGACATGTTTGAAAAAGGGCTTTCTGTGATGTTTCTTCATGAAAATGAATGATTGGGAGGTGAATCTGTTATTGATTTAACTGTCTTTTTTCCGTCCAGGACAAGGACGTAGCTCGGCTGCAGGACTTTCAGGAGCTTGAGGTTGTGCTGGAGAAAGCAGAGGGCCTGTCCCTGTTCTCTGGGACTGGGGGCCTAACAGACAGACCGTGCTACAACATGAAGGCCTCCCGCCTCACCTACTAGAGCTGCCACAGAGCCGGAGGTCTCCCCGCTTACGGATTGGCTTCTGTAGCTGCCCTCAAGCGACCATAACTAGTTGCCCGCCCAGGTCCCTTGTAACGGCTTTGTCCAGCTTTGGTGTTTCGCCAATTTCCTAACTGGGGATTTGTTATTTCAAGTTCAGTAGCTATTGTCCTCCTCCGGCACCTCCTGCCGCTTTAGTGTACCCAACCAGTTGTAAGCGATTACTGATGCATGGTGTCCTCGATTATGTGCGAAAGTATTTGGGCCCCTTTTCTCCTCTCCTTATTTCTTTCTCTCCTCCCCACTGCACTTTGTGCCAAGGCTCCAGTGGGACAACAGAGGGAGGCATTGGCTTGTCTTCCTTACGGACCGGACTTGAATGGGACTCTGTAACAGCCTCATCGGGACACGTCCCTGTACAGACTGTGGTCACAGAGGAAAAGACCTGGTCTGATGAGACGAAGAGCAGAGGACAACAGGAAGGCCTTACAGGACTCTTGCCACATAAGCTCGTCACCGGTCCTCAGAGTAGGACAAGTTGGACTTGCACACGGCAACTTGAATTTCTAGGAGATTGGCGTGTAGAGTGCTCTCAGATGTTCTAGCTGGCATACACACTTTCATACATGCTGTAGGCATGAACCTTAGTGTCTTTCCTGCAGAGGGAATCACATACTAATTCTAAGGTGGCGGTGATCTCTCACCAGGTGAGACGAAGGTATCTTTGGACTAATAGCACTGCTATACATACAGTCTGCTTTTCATCTGTATCCACACGAGGATGGACACATGTGAGGAGCAGTACTGGTTTCCCTCCATGTTTAAATCATTCAGTCACTGTGGAAGCAAAATAATTTGTTTTGTTTGAATTGTTCTCTTTTCTGTCTTTTCATGTCGGACAAAAATGTAAAATCTTGGAGATAAATGTGCAGCAACTCATTTTTTTTATTTTCTTCTACAGTGCATCCTAATAGGTTGAGTCAGCAGAATACTTAAAACGGTCAACTGTGAAGTATTTATTTAGAATGTTTGATTTAAATTGATTCCTACTAACGGAGCGAGACCAATGCGCTTTAGAGTGGCGAGGCTTGAGTCCCGGTAAAGTGTGTGTGTGTGTGTGAGAGTGAGAGAGAGAGAGAGAGAGAGAGAGAGTGTGTGTGTGTGAGAGAGAGTTCATTTCAGTTGCTGTCATTCTGTTTAACTGTGATTAGAATCAAAACCAAAAACTAATCTAGCCAGCAAAGATACTAACTGCAGAATAAACTATCACCGCTTCAGAGGAGAGCGCAGCCTTGTGACACTCGTGACGTGAAGAGGAAAGGCATAAGATTCAGCAGACGGCATGACGGTCTGTGTGTGTGTGTGTGTGTGTGTGACGCTTCCTTGTTCTTCCAGCACTAACGGAAATTCTTATTGACGATTGTTTCCAATTATTATTTTGGTTGCCGTGTGTCAACTAAGGCTGTCTATATAGTGACTAGATTTCTTTCAAATATCCATACATGGCCTCAGTTTGGTTATCAAGGCCAGTCTTCTGCTAATGTTGTTTTATTTTATTTCAGCCCTTTTTAATGTAAATTCTTTCTTTTCGGTTGCTTAATCACAAGTGTTGCTGTTGACCTTAAATGGAGACTGACGAGATGACCGCACCGACCAACATTCTTGTACTGTACATTAAGAGTTTTAACAGGTCAAGAGGCACGGCCATGTTGTGTCGGGATGGTTTATGCTGCTTTCATCAACACTTTTAAAGTTCTCAATGCTGGGGCTCGTTTATTTTCAGCAGTGCCACTACACATCTCCTACAATCAGAGAGTTCCTTACCCAGCGGTAACTGTTTACTGTCGAAATGTACACCTGACGCTCTTACTGCATTCGTATGTTTTTCAGATATATTTTGTATTATTTCTTTTTAACCGGGTTAGGCCTGTTGTGTTTGTGTCAAAAAGTCTTAACGTAGAGCGAGAGAGAGTTCATCTATGGGATGCAAAAGTCCCGGGTCGCTGTTGTAGAAGCAAAGTGCAATGTGGTGGAGTAGGTTCGCCGTGAGAAGAAAGGACTATACCACGAGTGCTTATGTTCTGTTCCCAGCTATGTTAAATGCTTTATTAAGTGAAGTTGTGCCACATGTTTAAAGCAGGAGTTTGGGACTATGTGTGGAGAAAACATCCCCCTGGCCTTATATGGTGTCCTGGGTGAGTGAGAGCAGGATGTTTGAAATGGGTTGTTTTTATAGGATCTCCTTTTGATTCTGTGGAAAGCAGATAACTAACGTTGTATTTGTTGAGTTGCTTATTGTTCTAGAAAACGCAGAATACAGTTTGACTTAACCTATGCATTCAGAGTCTGATATTTTTATATACAGTGCGTCCTGTGCACTTGTAGGAAGGATCTTCACTGTTCCACTTCTTTGGTTCTGGAGACCTGTATCTGTTCTTTGATAAAGCATGGTGAATTACTTCCCTCTTCCTCTCTGACCTCATCTTCTAAATTCACATTACGTCCACCTGACTAATTGAGGTAACTTTGATGTAATGAGCTTGAGTATCTTTCTTAGTGCTCACTATAAATTAAGGGATCGGTTACATGTTTGGTGTGGTTTCTGTTGCAGGTCTTCCTTTTGTTTGTACCTGCATGTGTGGGCTCGGACGTTGAGGTAAACTCCCCAATAATTCATTGAGATGTATGTTTCAACCAACAGCCAGTAGAGGGAGCAGAAGAGCACATATTGGCATCAGCCACATAGGTATTACCACTTGAATTCATAATAAGAGGATAGCTTTTTTTTTTTTTGCTTGGATTTAATTGAATATAAAACATGTTTTAAAACTTGCTGCTTAAATACTGGTCCATGTTCTATGTTTATACCGAAAACCATTAAGCCATTAAAGATTTCATTATGAACACTTGAATAAAAAGCAATAACTGAAAATTGCGCACCTTTTATAAAGGTCCAACCTGCACATTGACTAATAAACCTCTAATAACCCTGAATAGCCTATTTACTTAAATATATAACTGATGAAGAATCCAACCACATTATTTGCTGCAGATACATAGACTTCCTTTCAACAATAATTTAACATTTCATATTATTACCAGTTAATAGGTCCATTATTAACACTAGTAATACGCATTACAAAGTTCAGTATTCTACCGTCCAGCTGTGGTTTTTCACTTTTGACCTGTATTTGTGCAACGAGCCAATGTTGTACGTTCTGTTTTGACCTTAAAAAACGAGACATTTTGTTATGTTCCCTCTCTGATTTAAAGAACATAAACAGCACCTAAGTTATGGTCATACTGACACGCTAGAAATCCTTAACCTCTTCAGTGAAATGAATACAATAGTGTTCATGCGGTGAGCAGATGTTCAGACGCTGCAATCCGGAGAGAGCAAATATTGCATAATCTGAGCGGAATGGCGTTAAGAAAGTTAAATGTGTGTGTGCGCAACCTAAATATAGGGACAAAGGAATGTATGGCAATCAGGACATATACATTATAGTGGACCCCCGTGGATCTGCGCATGTATGCCTGCATGTGTGTCCATCGGCATGTTGTGCTGTGTGTCTAGACTGGAGCTGAGGATTCAGCTTAGGGCCCTGCTGTGGCTGGACGTGTCCCTCTCCTTTGTTCTGGAGTGAGACACTCATAATAAGCTTAGTATGAACCAGCTTCCCGAGACTCAGTCATGGGCAAGAGACGCTGTGGACCTGCATGGTCAAGAACCCTTAAGAGCATTTTAGAAATGGAGACACAAGGCGACGTTACTCACAGGTACGTGCCTTGCTCGATGTGCTTATACTATGGCCGTGGTGCAATATGTGCCAGTCTCTAACAGGCATTATACACAAAGCCAATACACAGAGCTGCTTATTTGTGTAAAGCCACTGAGGGATTAATGCTGAGGTCAGATTTACAGTAGCTTATATATACAGCATATATGTATATACTGTATATACCCAACAAACTGTGGGGCCCTGTGAGTGACCTGGAAGAAAGAAAAGTGAATTGCCAGGGTCATCTTATAAATGGAGTGTGTCAGCCATCTCATGCAGCTTGAGCTGTACAGGCCCACATACAGCAAAGGAATAGTGGAAATGTGCTTCTTTGCCTTCTGGCGGAGAGTTGTATGAGGCTCCAGCCAGCAGCCTGTTAGCTTAGCATAGCATAAATGTTGGGGTTACTTTATTGAGTCCCATGGTTTTGGAGAAAGGAAAAGTTGCTGCATCTAGACCAGAAATCACAGTAAAACACATGGATCATGGGGGACGAGGGGAAACAGCTAGTGTGTAGATATCTAAAGCTCATCAGCTAATGTTATATCTCTTGTTTAATCCGTACAAAACCAAAAGTACTACAACCAAACATTGTAGGCTACTGTTTTACACTGAATTCTGGCGTCAGTAGACGGTTGGCGGTCTTTACAGTGTGTGCCAGAGATTTTGGTTTCAAGGTGAAATACTATCCAATGGCATGCCGGTTATTCTACCATCGTAACTTCATCCCTGATCGGCAAAGATCATTACGGCAAATTATTTTAACACTTACAATTTATATTGTTTTTTGATGTTATGCTCTTGTCAGTGGACGTTTGCAGTTACTGAGCATAACATGATTGTGATAAAGTATTTGCAAGCACCAGGATCTGGAAGCTTTACGGCGCGTTTCAACCACTAATCTACATATTGCAAGAACATGAAAAATAAATGGAGACATTCCTTGAGTTGCAAAGCTGTTTTGATCTGGTCTCAGAAAGATGGTGAGTGTGCACAGAGAGGGTCAAAGTCAAGGTCTGTTTGCAGACAATACATACGCTGAAGGCAGATAGACGGTCGGGGCGCCCTGCATGGGGTCCACCATGAGGCTTTATTCAATATATTGACATGCCCTGTAGCCCCAGTGCTGGCTATGCTGGGAATGCAGGATCTTGAGGGGTAAAGGTTAGGGGTGGGCAGACACTGAAAACACAGCTTCACTGTGTTTGTGCATTTGCATGAAATAGAGAGCATGCACATATGTGTATGTGTGTAAAAGGGGTAGTATATAATTCGTACAGTCAATTTTCTATAAGTGATCGTTATTATCGTCAGTTAGATAATCACTGTTTCTTTACTATAGTCACTAATTACTTATAGGCTTTATGTGCATGCGTGTTTATGTGTTTGCGTGTGCGTGCGTGTGTGCATGTTTTTAGAGAGGGCTCAACAGACTCAGACCAGACTAAGACTGCAGGGTTTGGCCTGGAGCGCACTGGGCCTCTTTGGGCTCAGCAGGGACTCAGCTTGGAAGCACTACATACTCACACACACACACACACACACACACACACACACACACACACAGACAAATGTTGGATATTTTGTTCATCTAAAGATACATATAGACCAGCTTTTTAACGTCAGCAAAAGCAGTTTAATTTGAGTTTAATGGTGTTCCTAGGCTGTGTCACTGGAACTGTATCATAATCCTTTCTTCTGTTCATGTTCACAACCAAACAGACCACCAGCCAATTTGTTTTGTTTTGAAGCTCCCTTTTCTGCAACACTTCCTAGAATTGGCTTTCATGGAACAAACCGAGTTTTCTCAACATATATCATGTTGTGAAAACCCGGCCAAGCTGTCTGTACTACTTGTGACTTCTTACATGTCAATATTGTGATAGCTTGAGCTTGTTGATTGCAATATGCCCAGCATCATCTCTTTCATTTCAGTCTCATCGCTAACGACGCTACATCATATTCCAACATTGAAGATGCTTTATATATGAAATGGCATGTAAATAGGATTTTCTGATTAACTCAACCCAAGTGGGTGAGTGTGGTAGTTGGAGAAAGGACTGTTTTTTTAATTGATACAACTTAATATTCCATCTGTGTGATGGAGTATTGTCCACAAACTGGGACGTTTGGCATACTCAGCTACCGAGACATGTAGATCATGATCATGTTTTCTTTGTACCATGTCAAGTATACGTATGCTACGACTTGTACACTTCACTATTTGGGGCATTTCCAACGTTTTGCAGTGGTGGGTTTATTAAGAATTATGACTCCTGACTGGAGTTTTCAGGACATTTTACAACACACGTCACAGTGTAACATACAACAAACTAGAATGTTTGAGGATGCATGTTGTATCATTTGAATCAGTTAAACCTGAATACATGATGTGACAAATGGACAATATACCGTTTCAGTGAATATGACAGGCTGGCAAAATGGTGTATCCAGTATGGCAGAAATTAAATGTATTATATAAAAAATAGTACAGTTGGAATGTTGGATTCTGTAACAAGCAGCTCAGATATTACTGGCCAAAACACAGAAGTGGCTTTATGGCACCATCACCTGGTGCTCAAGCATAACTGTTGTCACATATCTGGAAAGATTTGCTGTTGTTGGTCTTGGAGTTTTTGAGGTACAGAAACCTTTAGAGGAAAAAGACGAGAAGGGAAACCACAAATCCACTCAGGTTAAATTGAGCTCTTTGGTTCACTTTGAGCTCAGAAGGGAAACCAGAATAGGATCTACAAAAAGAAGACACTGAGTTTGGTGCCATCTTCTGGACATGAACGTTTTGTCCATATGGACAGCAGGGATTTTACAGTAAACGGTGCTAAATTTTAATGCAGTACTATAGTGCGCAGTATTGTCACACAGTGCTTCTTTAATTTGGTGCATATGACAAGACAAAGCATCTTCCTATTTTGAAATGCTACACAATAATAACTATTTGCTATATTGTAAGAAACTGTTTTGCACAATACTGTCTTTTTTTCAAGATTCTGATACCTTTACACTTATTATTTAAATGTGTGAAGATGTTAAATGTTTGATTTAAATCTTATCTACTCTACTTTTAAGAGTTAGTGCTGCATATCTCTTTCTCCTTTGCAAGCTAAGGGTTAAGGCAGCAGCGACTTACGCACAGGTGTCTCGCCAGTCCTTTATGAAACAGCGCCTGCAAACTTCCCCCCCCCTTTAATTAAGTTGATCATAACTGTAACTCAGCTGGGATTTGCTGCCCGACTAGACATGTCACTGTAATTCATGTAGTCTTAAGTGGGTTTGCTCACCGCAGCACTAATCTCATCTCTCGCTACTACGTCGAGCGTCTAACCTGGAGAGCTCTCCACATCGAGACCGGTCCCGCACGCTCCTATTTTGCTGCTTTTGTGCAGCATCTGATTCCAGTGGTTAGGAACTAATAACGCGACAGCTTGAGGAGAGTTTACAGAGTATTTTTCCACAAAACTTTAAAGTCGTTGTTAAACTTGCATTTTCAAGATTTTTTTTTTTTTAACGTCCGTTGTGTTACGCGTCGGACATGTGGTGGATGCTGTTTCCTCGATGGATTTGGTTTCTTCTGGGACATTGTTATACTATACTCCTTTATACGGGCAGCAGCCGCGTGAGAGCAATGCCCATGTCCGTGGCAAAAGTGGTGTATTCTCACGCAGGTCTGTGCCCAAATGACCTGAACCCCAACCTGTGGGTGGATGCTATGAGCACCTGCATGCGCGAGTGTGAATCCGACCAGGTGAGTTGAACCTGCAACTGACGGTGATGTAGCTACTGCTGATGTAAATGTGTAGCCTAGACAATAGGACATATGACGCAGTTCGTTTGCAGTCAAAGTTATATCCTTTAGTAGACCAGGATCTCATGTTGGACGAAACCCCCTAAATGTCAAATAGCTAAAGGAGCAGCTATCATATGCCAACAATTCCTGTTTTCCTTTGAATTGTGCAAGAGTTGCTGCATGGGGGTTTGATAGAAAAAAATGCCAAGCCATAACACAATTTAACAAAAATAATCTTAGTGTTACACATGTCACATTTTTAACAACATTTACCTCCTTAAATTTTTTATTCATGCTGTTTCAAGTTGACCAAATATTGGTCAAAACTCATCCACACTGATAAAATGTAAAGAGCCCCCTGATCTAAATGTACCCTTATGAAACATACAGGTAATATTTTGTGAGGAGAATTTCTCCAGGAATAAAAAACATTTTCTACAGAATTTTAACTGAAACTGTATAAAACTAAAAAAAACTAACAGTAGTGATTTTTCTTTTCTCTTCCTACTTTAGGACTGTGAAGCATTTGAGAAGTGCTGCCCTAATGTATGTGGTAACAAGAGCTGTGTGGCATCACGCTATATAGACGTCAAGGGCAACAAGGGGCCCATAGGAATGCCAGAGGGCGCCACCTGCGACAAGTTCATGTGCTCTCAGCAAGGGTCCGAGTGTGACATCTGGGACGGCCAGCCTGTTTGTAAGTGTCGGGACCGCTGTGAGAGAGAACCCCACTTCACGTGTGCGTCTGACGGCATGACGTACTATAACAAGTGCTACATGGATGCAGAGGCCTGTTCCAAGGGTATCTCTATATCTGAGGTCACCTGCAGGTAACATGTTAAGTATTTTAGATATCTACCATTTGTTTTTGGTGTGATGAGGTAAAGTTGTCTCATTTTAGTCTATTTTTCTGGCTGTAGCGTAGAAACTTAAATGTATTAATTGTGTAATTTGTCAATATAAAGAAGAGCCTTTGACATATACTGGCTCTGATTAAGTCCTTTGTTATTCAACCTACCTACAGGTACCACTTGACCTGGCCAAACACCAGTCCCATCCCAGCAGAGACCACCTTACATCCCACCACCGCCCTCCAGACCACCCTCCCTGCTGACATCCAGCTTCCCACCATACACAGCGGCCCCACCCAGCAGGCTGTTTTTGTGGGTGAGACAGCTAGCTTCCTGTGTGAGGTGTCTGGAAAGCCACATCCGCATATCACTTGGGAGAAACAACTGAAGGGCAAAGAGAACAACATAATGAGGCCTAATCATGTTAGAGGGAACGTTGTGGTCACTAACATTGGCCAGCTGGTCATATACAATGCGCAACTTCAGGATGCCGGCATTTATACGTGTACGGCCAAAAATGTTGGCGGAAGTGTGTCGTCACACTTTCCCTTGGTGGTGATCGGGAAGGATGCGAAAGGTAGGAATGCAGAGGGAAATAATACCAACCTGCCATTTCCAGCTGAAGAGTGTCTCAAGAGTCCAGACACAGACGGCTGTGGAGAAGAGAGCATAAGCTGGTACTATGAACCAAAGAGGAACAATTGCTTCACCTTTACCTACAGTCAGTGCAACAAAAACCGTAACCATTTCAACACATATGAAGCCTGCATGCTGTCATGCGGAGGAGAGCTAGCGGCTCCCTGCAGCCTGCCGAGCCTCCAAGGGCCTTGCAAGGCCTATGAGCCTCGCTGGGCTTATAGCAACAGCCTCAAGAAGTGCCAGTCCTTTGTGTTCGGAGGCTGTGGTGGCAACGAGAACAGCTTTGAGTCTAAAGAGGCCTGTGAAGAGATGTGTCCGTTTCAGAAGAACCGCAAGTGCAAGATGTGTAAGCCCCGAGCCAAGATGGTCACCAGCTTCTGTAAGAGTGACTTTGTGATCCTTGGCCGTGTTAACGAGCTGACGGAGGAGCAGGAGTCGGGCCACGCTCTGGTGACAGTGGAGGAGATCTTGAAAGATGAGAAGATGGGCCTGAGATTCTTTGGCAAAGAGCCCTTGGAGGTGACTCTTCTGAACATGGACTGGAACTGCCCCTGCCCCAACATCACCACAGCCGACGGACAGCTCATCATCATGGGGGATGTTCAGAATGGGATGGCCGTCCTGCAGCCCGACAGCTTTGTAGGATCCTCCAGCACTCGTAGAATCAGGAAGCTCCGTGAGGTTATCCACAAGAAAACCTGTGATTTCCTTAAAGATTTCTCTGCCGTCCAGTAGAGTCTATTTAAGTTTCACACTCACTGAAAGTCAGTTGTGTTTTCAGATTTTTCCAAGCTCCAGTGAACTCACCAGTCTGACTGACTGCCCGTAAACATAAACGAGTAACTTATCTGTAACATTGGAGGTTTCGTTGCCTGTTTGAGATGTTTCTCTTCCTTTCTTATCACTCAGTAGATCTCAGAAAATCACTCCTCGTAGCTTTACTGTTGTCATTTTTGTCTGCTGTTTTCATTCAAGATTTCTTTCCGGAAAGCTGTTTAAAAACTGTCCTAATAGTTCTCTTTTAAAATTAGAATCAAGCTTAGACAGTTTCGATGTCCGCACTTAGGGCACACTGTCTGGAAAAGGCAGGTAGAATAGTATTAGTCACAAGCATTTACCCTGTACAAAGTATTTCCTCTTGCAACCCTTTACTAAAACGGCATTCTAGATTTCCTCTCCAAATGTTATCTTTAATACACTAATATTATTAATTTAAGGGTATGTTTTAATGTGACGTTTTGTGGGTTATCCTCCCAAAACATTGTGTAACATCTGTCAGGAGCAATTGAGCTCACAATAATGCAATGCGAAGCCTCAGTTTATTTACCAGAATCAAATAAGCTCTTTGGTTCCATATTTTGTGGAATCTATTTTGATAAGACTTAATTTACAATACAGAGTATGTATGTGGACTTCTGTACTATGTATTTATTTTTCTTGATCTATTTCTTATATATATATATATATGTATATTTATATATATATATATATATATATAGGCAGAAAGTCTCTCTGTGAATCCAACTACATAGAGAGCAGACATATTTTGACGTTATCTATTATATATTAGTGTCCATTAAAACTTTTATGGAATACGATGGCAAAATGAATAAAGATGATTTTAAAACATACAACAGATGTCCTTGCTTTGTGATGTTTTGCTGTTCCTTGTGTTGAAGACAAAATACCCAACATGCTCACAGCTTATCAAAAGGCTCATGCAGGCAGTGCATCCTTTCATCCATGTCCTCCTCCTTAGTATTTCACACACATACACAGGGCCTAGTCTGAAGCAGGTCACATTCCAGCCCCGCTGTGGTGGCCCGCAGAGCTGTGTGTTGTGTTGTGTCTGGGTCTGGGGCCCTCGCATAGCACACACCCCACCAGCCATCTATTGGCCTTGTGCGGCCCCTTTCATGTGTGAGAGGCCAGGGTGAAGGGGATGAGGAGGAGGAGAGGGACGTCGGCTGATTCTCTCTCTTTCACTCACTTCTTTGGCCACATCTGTGTTAAAGGGGCATAATAGAAAACAGTGAGAGGAATGAAGAGAGTAAAGTCAAGTAGAAATTGAGAAATGTAATCCCTAAAGTTCTAAAAAGAGCTTAGGTTAGAGCTTATTTTAGTACTGGAGATTGTAGCTTAATCTTGGTGTGGAAGAGATTAAGACTTTGGGAAAATTCTACTATGCATGAGTATTTAGGTGCAAACAGCTACAATGTCAGGTGATAATCAACTCAGGGTTGACAAGTACCAGCACTGTGGGATGCCTTAAGAACAAAATGAGTGACAAAGACCAGCAGGCCATACAGGAAATAGAAGGGTCCAACTAGCAAGTGAATAATTTCCCCCTTCCCCCTCTTCCCTTATATCTCCTTCTCTAACCCCCATCCTCAACCCTCTTCCCTCAACTGTCTGCTGACAGACAGCCAGCCTTGAGTGGTCGACCTCTGACCCTGCTAATGAAAAAGAGGCCACCAAGGAAAAGGCCACTTTCATTAGAACTGTTGACAAGTGTTAAATGACTGGCTGAGCTCCAGACTAGCTCCGCACAGCTCTTCACATCACAGTTGACTGCTGAGTTCAGTATCAAGTTCACTTAGAGACCACCAGCCAGGCAGCTTGCCAGACAGACCATAATAATAAGCCAGACAGCCTCAGGCACAAAAGGGGGGCCCAATGCCCTTAGTGACACAGTATCAGTGAGGAACTTGTTGGTGTTCAGAGTGATGTTCGACTCTCTTTACCAATAACTAATACACACAAATAGCCATTGATTGTACATTGATTATCTTGCTCAGGAAATTGACATGATTTTCACATCAGGTACGGATAACCAACAACTGTATTTCATTACACAAACTTGGGTGAACAAGTAAAGTGATAAGCCATTTAATTTAAAACACTACTCCACCGAATTATCATTGCATTCATACAATATTGTCGGACACACAATGGACAATTAAAAAAACAAGGATACAAATCAATGCTGCAGAAGCAAAGAAAGGCCTGTTGTGTTTTTTATTCCATGCATTCTTATTCCTTGTCGAAATATGTTGCCTACATTACCCACAATGCAAATCCACCAACGGTGTCTTATGCTATTAGGGGATAATGTAGCTTCCCCTTTGATATGATACAGAAAGATCAATGAATCATTTTTGTATCAGTTCACTGTGGGGATCTATGTGCTCTAAGACGTTTGCAATGTGTGAGACATAAGTCCACTAAAGTCTAAAGTCATTTTTTTAAAATGGAAGCTGAAGATGTATTTAGGAGAAAAGTGATGTATGCACCCATACCCTGTCCTCAGACATATCTATTTATGTTCTGGTACCTTTTTGAGTATTAGAAAACAACTCTTAACTGTAAACTGATAAACTGTGTAAGAATGGAAAAGGAAAGGAGATAACTCAGCTTCTGCAGCAGAGAAGAAGAAGCTACAGGTGTGTCTGTGGTCGCAGGAGGGCGGAGCCTATAATTTAACCAATCATCGTTTTACTTTTGCAAAAAATGTCCTTCAGTAAAATTGCTTTGAAGTAATAGTACTTAAAAGTACAATATTATATTACTCTTTCCAACCTTATAATCACATCTCACATTGCCCTTGCTTTTAATTTAACATTAATTCAGGACTATATAACTAGATACCATAACAAAGGGACTAATGTGCTGACTCTGATTTCATACAACTTATGCTGCTGTTGTTTTTACATTTACTATCAGGTGTCATGTGTGTGGGAGATTTCAATACCTAGATAGATAATGAGGAAAACTACATTACTGCATTCTGTGCAATTGATGAAGTTGGCCATTGGGTGGCAGCACAACAAAGCCTGGTGACAAGAGTGAGCTGCTATAAACTGGCCTAAGCATAACTGTTGCTTATCTCTTTGATATGTGCCACTTACATTTCATTGACTAGAAAAAATACACTTTATTAATTAAGTTTGCATCTTAACAAGTCAGTTTAGCCATCAATAGTTGATCTTTATACATAAAAATGCTGCATAAATATCCACTTAGTGCAATTTCACTAGTATCAGGAATCTTCTAAAAATGTAATATGTTTTGGTAAGAGAGATTGAAGCAATGAACTCAAGAAAATACCAGTTTGTATTGGAAACATGTTGAAGTGAAGCAGATTTGTTTACTTGCTTGAAAAATTATGATATTTAAAACCTAAAAATGCACAAAATAAGTAGTTAAAGTGAATGTTGATTTAGGCTTTTACAGTAGCCAAGCAGATTTTATTGTAATTTTCTGTCTATTACACACTCAATGTCACATGCCCGATGAATGCCTCCACAAGCAGTAAACCAGATGGGCTGGAAGATTGTGCCCAATACACTGAATGTGTGCAGCCGCACACGCATGTACGCACGCACGCAGTGTCAATAGCATCTCTTCACGACACAGCTGGTCTATGTGTTGGGTTAGACTAAAATTTGCCAGATGGGAAGGGATAGAGAGAGTGGAACAAAAAGACAGAAAGTCATAAATTACCAAGATAAAATGCAGCACACTACATTCACATTCTCTATAAATCCATGCATGCATGTGCACACACAGACACAGATAAATGTTGCTGACATTAGGTGAGGAAGACGATTTCTATAGTCACACAAAGGACGTTTCATGTTGGAGCAGACAAATGACAGTTTTTGTTTTTGCATTACATGGTTAAACAAACAGGCACATGCAAAAAGTACAAGATTGATTTTCTCATAATAAATACACAACTTGACATTTGCAGTCATGCAGCTCTCCTTTGCTTATTATTTACAGTAAGACAGCTGAAGGG